AGTAAGATTTGAATGAGTGAGATCTACAGAGGTGACATCTGTAGGGGTGTGACATGCAAGAGTGAAGTTTGTAGGAGTAAGATTTGAATGAGTGAGATCTACAGAGGTGACATCTGTAGGGGTGTGACATGCAAGAGTGAAGTTTGTAGGAGTAAGATTTGAATGAGTGAGATCTACAGAGGTGACATCTGTAGGGGTAAGACATGTTGGAGTGAGATTTTTAAGAGTGAGATCTACAGGAGTGAGACATGCCAGAGTGAGGTATGTAGGAGTAAGACTTGAATGAGTGACATCTGTAGGAGTGAGATTTGTAGGAGTGACATCTGTAGGGGTGAGACATGTTGGAGTGAAGTTTGTAGGAGTAAGATTTGAATGAGTGAGATCTACAGAGGTGACATCTGTAGGGGTAAGACATGTTGGAGTGAGATTTTTAAGAGTGAGATCTACAGGAGTGAGACATGCCAGAGTGAGGTATGTAGGAGTAAGACTTGAATGAGTGACATCTGTAGGAGTGAGATTTGTAGGAGTGACATCTGTAGGGGTGAGACATGTTGGAGTGAAGTTTGTAGGAGTAAGATTTGAATGAGTGAGATCTACAGAAGTGACATCTGTAGGAGTGAGACATGCTGGAGTGAGATTTTTAAGAGTGAGATATACAGGAGTGTGACATGCCAGAGTGAGGTATGTAGGAGTAAGATTTGAATGAGTGACATTTGTAGGAGTGACATCTGTAGGGGTGAGACATGTTGGAGAGAGATTTGAATGAGTGACATCTGTAGCAGTGAGATTTGAAGGAGTGACATGCCAGAGTGAGGTTTGTAGGAGTGAGATCTGAAGGATTGACAACTGTAAGAGTGAGGCATGACAGAGTGGGCTTTGTAGGTGTGAGATTTGAAGGAGATTTGTAGGAGTGACATCTGTAGGGGTGAGACATGTTGGAGGGACGTTTGTAGGAGTGAGGTATGTTGAATAAGATTTGAATGAGTGACATCTGTAGAAGTGACATCTGTAAAAGTGAGACATGCCAGAGTGAGGTTTGTAGGAGTGAGATCTGAAGGAGTGACATCTGTAAGAGTGAGGCATGACAGAATGGGCTTTGTAGGAGTGACATTTGTAGGAGATTTGTAGGAGTGACATCTGTAGGGGTGAGACATGTTGGAGGGAAGTTTGTAGGAGTGAGGTATGTAGGAATAAGATTTGAATGAGTGACATCTGTAGGAGTGAAACACATTGGACTGAGGTTTTTAGGAGTGAGATCTGTAGGAGTGAGATCTAAAGGAGTGACATCTGTAAGAGGGAGACATACCAGAGTGAGGTTTGTAGGAGTGACATCTGTGGGAGTGACATCTGTAGGGGTGAGACGTGTTGGAGTGAAGTTTGTAGGGGTGAGATATGTCGAATAAGATTTGAATGAGTGACATCTGTAAAAGTGACATCTGTAAGAGTGAGACATGACAGAGTGGGCTTTGTAGGAGTGAGATTTGTAGGAGATTTGTAGGAGTGAGGCATGTTGTAGTGAAACAAGTTGGAGTGAGACATGTTGGAGGTGAGATTTATAGGAGTGACATCTGTAAGAGTGATGCATACCAGAGTGAGGTTTGTAGGAGTGACATCTGTAGGAGTGACATCAGAAGGAGTGAGTCATGCAGGACTAATGTTTTTAGGAGTGAAATCTATAGGAGTGAGATATGTTGGAGTGAGATCTGCAGGAGTGACATCTGTAGAGTGAGATTTGTAGGAGTGAGACATGCCAGAGTGAAATTTGTAGGAGTAAGACATGTAGGACTGAGGTTTTCAGGAGTGAGATCTGAAGGAGTGTGATCTTTAAGAGTGATATGTGTAGGAGAGAGATATGGAGGAGTAAGATGTGACCAGGTGTGATTTGTAGCACTGAGATTAGCAGAAGTGAAATCTGTAGGAGAGAGATTTGTAAGAGTGTGATTAAGAGTGTATATGTGTGTGTGGGTGGGTGGGCACATTTTTTGCTACATGGTTGGAACCATTTTCCAGAAAAAGGCAGCCTTGTGGGGACTGAATGTGCACTCAATCCACATCTTGGTCCTAAACCCAGCCCCCCACCTGAAATTAGCATCCTGTGGGGACCGGGCTTTGGTCCCCATGGGATTTGGTCCTTATGGATGCTAATTTCAGGTGGGGGGTTTGTTAAGGACCAAGGTGTGGATTGAGTTTAGGTTAGTTTTAGGGTCAGGTAGGTACCTGTGAGGTTAGTTTAGGGTAATGGTCAGGGTTAGGATTTAAATTTCCAAAAAATGAATGGTGGTCGATCCACGGCCCCTGCAGGGATATAAAAACAAACCTGTGAGTGTGTGGGACACTGAAGTCTCACCTTTGAAGTCAAACTGATGGATGTTTTTCAGAGACTCGTGGATAAAGTAGAAACTTCCCAGAGCCTGAAAGAAGAGAGAAACATTTATTTGCTGATGGAACTGTGGTCCAGAACCCTTCACCAGACTCCTGACCCAGACTGTGGTCCAGAACCCTTCACCAGACTCCTGACCCAGACTGTGGTCCAGAACCCTTCAGACTCCTGACCCAGACTATGGTCCAGAACCCTTCACCAGACTCCTGACCCAGACTGTGGTCCAGAACCCTTCACCAGACTCCTGACCCAGACTGTGGTCCAGAACCCTTCACCAGACTCCTGACCCAGACTGTGGTCCAGAACCCTTCACCAGACTCCTGACCCAGACTGTGGTCCAGAACCCTTCACCAGACTCCTGACCCAGACTGTGGTCCAGAACCCTTCAGACTCCTGACCCAGACTGTGGTCCAGAACCCTTCACCAGACTCCTGACCCAGACTGTGGTCCAGAACCCTTCAGACTCGTGACCCAGACTGTGGTCCAGAACCCTTCAGACTCGTGACCCAGACTGTGG